ACTGTTCTCACAACATTTGCAGGTAATGATGGCACACCTGGGGAGACCGAATCAGGGTGGGACATTTCCAGTGGGAACGGGATCCCGGTGGTTTGGCCCCCTCTCCAGTGTTCAGTTTCTGTGATATGGAGTTGACAAGGAGTCACCTACAGTTCTTTTTATTTTAATTTCATTGTATTTATTGGGGTGACATTGGTTAATAAAATTATATAGGTTTCAGGTGTACAATTCTATAATTCATCATCTGTATGTTGTATTGTGTCCTTCCTTCACCATGCATTCCTTTACCCTCTTCTACCTCCTCCCATCCCCCTTCCCTCTGGTAATCCCCAAACTGTTGTCTGTGTCTATGAGTTTTTCCCCCTTGGTTTAATCCCTTCACCTTTTTCACTCCACCCCGCTCCACCCCTCCCCTCAGACAGGTCAGTCTCTTCTCTATCTAGAAGCCTGTTTCTATTTTGTTAGTTTATTTTGTTCATTAGACCCAGTCACCTTCAGTTTCAATGGGAGAGAGCTCCTCGCTTTGACTTTGGTTCAGGAGCCAGAGTAGTACAGCGGGGAAAACATGTGCTTTGGAATCAGACACAGCTGACTTGAAACCCTGGTCTTTTATGAGCCGTGTGATCATGAGCCAATTGCTTAACCTATCTGAGCCTCAGTTTCTTCTGATGGTGCCATAGGGTGATGTAAAAGCCTTGACATTCCCATGCGTGCAAGTGGAACTCACTGCTGTTGCTAGTGGTGGGAGGGAAGTCTGAGTGCTCACTGAAACCTGTTCTTCATTAAGTACATTTGCTGACATCTCAATCTGCTCTTTCTCTCTCTAGCACTTCGGTGGGGAGTTTCCCATCGGGGGAGAGCAGTGACCAGGGCCCCCGGACACCCACCCAGCCTCTGCTGGATTCTGGCTTCCGCTCTGGCAGCCTGGGCCAGCCCAGCCCTTCGGCTCAGAGAAGCTACCAGAGTTCTTCTCCTCTTCCAACCGTGGGCAGCAGCTACAGCAGCCCCGACTACTCACTTCAGCAGTTCAGCTCCCCAGAAAGCCAGGCCCGGCCTCAGTTCAATGCGGCTGGTGTCCACGCGGTCCCTGGGAGCCCTCAAGCACGCCACAGGACAGTGGGCACCAACACTCCCTCCAGTCCCGGCTTTGGCCGCCGAGCTGTCAACCCTGGCATGGCTGCCCCCAGCAGCCCCAGTTTGAGCCATCGCCAGGTGATGGGCCCGCCAGCAACTGGTTTCCATGGTAATGTGGTTTCCAGCCCCCAGAGCAGTGCAGTGACCACTCCAGGAAGCCCCAGCCTGGGCCGGCACCCTGGGGCCCACCAGGCCTCAGGCCTCCATGGCAGTGTGGCTGTCACTCCAGGGAGCCCCAGCCGCGGCCAGCAGCCAGGGGCCCACCAGGCCTCAGGCCTCCCTGGTAATGTGGCCACTACCCCAGGGAGCCCCAGCCTGGGCCGGCATCCTGGAGCCCACCAGGGCAACTTGGCCTCCAATCTCCATGGCAACACAATATCCAGCCCTGGAAGCCCCATCCTGGGCCGTCATCTCGGAGCATCTGGATCCGTGGTTCCCGGCAGCCCCAGCTTGGATCGGCACGTGGCCTATGGCGGCTACTCCACCCCTGAGGACCGGAGACCCACACTGTCCCGGCAGAGCAGTGCCTCTGGTTACCAGGCTCCTTCCACGCCCTCCTTCCCTGTGTCTCCTGCCTACTACCCGGGCCTGAGCAGCCCCGCCACCTCCCCTTCGCCAGATTCGGCAGCCTTCCGGCAAGGGAGTCCAACACCGGCCTTGCCAGAGAAGTGGAGGATGTCCATGGGAGACCGAATGGGCAGCCTCCCCAACTATGCCACCATCAATGGGAAGGTGTCGTCCTCGCCTGTCGCCAGTGGCATGTCCAGTCCCAGCGGGGGCAGCACTGTCTCATTCTCGCACACCCTGCCTGACTTCTCCAAGTACTCCATGCCAGGTGGGTCTCTCCTTCACCTCTGCGTCTCCTGCTGACAGGTTAAGTCCACCAGCTGGGGTATCTGAACTGCTCTCTGTTCTGGCATCCTCCTGGCAGATAACCGTGGGTGGATCACTGGCCATGGCCTCAATTAATTGCCTTATCTGTTTAATGGGATTTGGAGGTGTCCTCAAAGGAATTGTGCTATGGTTGTGGTGACTGTGGGGGCAGGAATGAAGCTGCCGATGATGATGAGGATGGTGAAAATAATAATAATGACAGTGTCATTGTTACGATTACCAGAGCCACTCCCACTTGTTGAGCACATGCTGTGCGCCAGGCTCTGAGCTAAGCAGTCTCTTTCATCCTCACAGCCACACATGAGGAAACGGGCTTGGAGAGCTCAGTCATTTGTCCAGAGTCAGACAGTTAAGAAATGGCAGGGCCAGGCTGCCAATCCAGTCCCATACTACCCAAACTAGTGCTCCTAAAACATTGGAGTTGCTGGATCATGCTTCCCTGTCTTGAGGGTTATGGTGATTTAGCATAACCTTGGCACTCTGCCTTCCAAACCTGGACCCCAAACCTTTTGCCAGCCCTTTGTTCCCATCTTTGGGTCCCCACTCTGCACACATAACTAATAATAGATCTGGCAGCCAGATGTGATATGGGCCAAGGCCAGGGCATTTCACTGGAGTCTAGTTTCTGCCAGCTTCACTGAAGCTGTGCAGGTTTGCACACTGAATTCTTCACTCGTCACCAGAACTCAGCCTCTTGGCTTCTGCTGAGAGGGCTCATTATCCAGACACAGAGGTCAAAGCCTCAGCTGATATGCAGCTTCTCATCCAGACCTGGAACCTGCCTGTGTGCAGAGGACCCCGTGGCCCTGAGGCATTCGAGGAAGATCGGGAATGTTTTGGGCAGCCTAGAATGGGCCCCAGCTGCCTGGACTCTCAACGTGCCACTACTGGGTCCTGCCCCGAGCCTGCCAAGCCAAGACTCTACTGCGACCCTGCACGCCCCTACTTCCTGCTGCCCACAAGAGACATCTGGTTCCCAGCTCCTCTCCTTGGAGGATGCAAAACTTCTAGTAGTTGGGACATTTCCTGTTTCCCACCATCTTCCCTGCTTAAAATAGCCATTGGAGTCAACACAGGAAGGCACATGGGGCTGCAGCCGCCTCTGACAGCTCATTAGACAGGCCCAGCACCAGCGGCTGGGGCTTCAGAGCAGAGAAAGGCAGCTTGCAACAGTTGCACGGCCCAGCTGGCTAGCCCAGAGGCCTCCCCCAGGGCACAGCTCAGGAGAGGGAGCTGATCTAGCCCTTCATTCTCCTCCAGAGACAGGTCCCAGGAGCCTACCAGAGTTTAAGTGACAGGTTGAAATTGACAAAGCACTGGACACATAACCCACCCCTGTCCCTGGTCTGGATGCTCTGAGCTTTACCACATCATCAACACAGGCTCCTTCTGCTCTGCCTCTCTCTCAAGAAAGGAGAGGAAACATGTACAATTGGAATATTCCTTTCCCCTCCTCACCCATCCCCCTTTTGGTTTCCTTTTGTTCCCAAAGATAAAGGAAGAGGTTGGGGAGTGCAGAGTACACATGCTAAACCTAGCAGGAAGCCGGCTGTCCGGCACTGAACTGAAATGGCTGCTGGTCTTCTCACCCGGGAAGGTCTAACAGGAGAAGGTCTATTACCCATGGAAAGGCTCACATATGGGCTTGGGAAGCTCACTCACCTTCTCTGAAAGTCTCCTCATTTTAGAGTTAGGAGGTTGGACTAGATGCTCTCAGAGGGCCTTCTAGAACCTATTGTTCTGTGAAATCATCCTGGGTCTGCAGAGGGTCTGGGGTGGGAGCATCTGCCAGAGAAGTGGGGTATGTGACACACGAGATGGCTTCCAAATTCTAGGCCAGGAAATGTGGGAAACAGGAAATGTCCCAACTGTTTGTTCTAGAGCAGGAGCGATGCCTTTGCCCTCTATGATACAGAACTCAGGCTTTCCACATGGGAATGAGGAGTGGGTTGGAGAAGTGGAACGAAATGGTCTTTCTGCCCAGTTCTCAAGGTTGTTATGATAAAGTTGGGACGTTGAGCCTGTGGAGAAAGGGACTAGAGCTGGGTGTCTTAGACTGTGGGGAAGAAGCTGCAAGAAGGGTCTAGTCTGAATCTTCTAGAGAAAGGAGATGGGGTGGAGTAGGACTTCACTGGCCCAG